CTGCTGTGCTCTGTTTCCTCCCCCTGCGGGCACCCAGAGCTCTCCCGCCCCGCCGGGCTGCGGGGAATCAGCCCGGGGAAACCTGGTTGTGTCACAGCCTCGGTGTGTGCGCGGGCCGGGGGGTCGGTGCAGTTCCCCACGGGTTATTCTCCATGGGAGTCATTCTCCTCCTAAGGCAGGTGGTTCCCGTGGCTTCACCTCACTTAAAACAAACTGGTCTTTCTTCCCTTCAGTTGTTGCTGCCGAAAGAGGGCAGAGAGCAGCTTATGGGAGAGACTGGAGAAATGCTCCTACACATCTATGAACACATCTCAGCTCACCTGCTCAGGCCATGAGCTGTTCACATCAGGAACCTTTTGTTACCTGAGCAGCTGTGTCCATCCCCAGCGCATCGGAGGTGCACGTGAGCTGGTTTGCGTTCCCTCCTAAAGGCTGAAATCCTTTCAGTTCCCAGGTCTGGCAGATGTGTCCATATCCCAGGACATCCCAGTGGAAGGGGAGATCACTGTCCCTGTGGGATCTCACTCTCCTGATGAGGATTACTCCACGCTGGACGAGCCTGTCAGGGACACGATTGTGAGTCTGGGCCTCTGGTTGGGGTAAAACTTGGGTTTTCCAGACTCTTTGGCAGGTGTTGTGCAAAACCTGTGTTTGTGCACAGCTCTGCTTGACCTGTACTTCAGTGTAAGTCTGGGGATTGTTTTACAACTCGTCATGTAAAACAAAATCCTATGGGTCAGAAGTATCTGAATTGTGGATTCTTCATTTCTTTTCTTTTTTTAGAGGAGCAAATATTGTTGTTCTTCTTCTGGTGTTATTAAAGGATATAATATTGTGGTTGTTAAGGAAAAGGACAAGATGTTGTGGTTGTTAAGGAACGCAGGGGAAATAGGCAGTGTCTGTCTCAGAGGATGCTACAGAACATTTTGGGTTGGATCTTCTCCTGAGTTACCATCATTGCTCCTTTACTTCTGTCTGTCTGCTTTACTAGGAACTGTGATTTTTGTACAGGGGGAAATTGGGGTGTTTTGTGTCTGTTTCAGATGAGGGACCTGAAGGCCGTTGGGAAGAAGTTTGTCCATGTGATGTACCCCCGGAAGAGCAGCGCACTCCTCAGGGACTGTACGTGCCAGGGGGGACAGGGAGCAGCAGTGTGGGACACCCCGGGCTGAGCAGCAGCTGGGACAGTCACGGTGTCACCAGGGCTCTGGGCTGGGGGTACAACTGGGAGCTTTAGCAGGGATGGGCTTTGAATGAATTTTATTACAGAATATGGTGTAAGGTGCTGAATAAGGAAATTGTAGGGCAGTGGGGTGTGGAAAATGGCACCTTGGGAGTTGGGAAAGGGCTTTGTCACTCCCAAGAGAATGGAACTGAGATGGTTCTGTGACATTTGTGATGTGTTTTCCCTCTCCTTGCAGGGGATCTGTGGGGCCCATTGGTGCTGTGTGTCTCCCTGGCTCTGTGAGTATTGCTGGGGGATCTGGGGTTTTGTGCTCTTGTGCATCTGGGAACTGAAATGTTCAAAATGGATTAATGTGTTGAGATCAAGCTCAACAGAGATCTCTCTCTGCCTTGTTGGATTCTCACTGCCTGGTTGGATTCTCTTATAAAATGTGTTTGTGACACTTCAAGCCTATTAGCATCTCTCGTCCTTAAATTTAGGATTTAAGGGTGAGCACTTCCTGGTCCCTGTCCTAGGAGTGGTTTTCCTGAAGGTGTCCCAGGCACATTTCCTCATTCAGCTGTGTTTGATGCCTTTGCCCCCAGCTGCAGCCAGGACCCTGGTGTGGGAGCTGCAGGGCTGCGTGTCCTGAGAGCGGTGGGAGAAGGGAGGCTGGTCCAGGGATCAGGGATAGGAGGAGATGGTGGCTCCCAGGAGTTTGGGGAGTCAGATCTGCCTGGTGGGAGGGAAATGTTGGTGAGGTCTGTAAGTAACTGAGGCACGCCTGTGTATGCAGAGTACAGAAATCAGTTAGTAATGTGGTGGGAAAGCTTTAGCAGAAGGAGAGGTGTAATTTAAATATTCCAGTCCGTGGCTGCTCACTTCCCCAGGCTCTGTGGTGCCTGCATCCCATAGTTATTCCCAGCTTGCTTTAAGGTTGATGTGTTCAATCACTCACTGCTCTGCTGCTATGAGAGGTACTAAATCTTTGGTACTTTAATTTCCATCTCTTAGCCTGTTGTCTATGGCTTTATTCTTTTCTGAATGCTTGCACAGTCCTCAAAACAGGGAAACAAATGGGCTGAAATCTCCCCTATTGAGCCACAACCATTTTCCTTTCCTGTGCAAAACTGAGGATAGTACTGAAAATAAGGAAAGAGATGAAAAACTATTGATCTGCAGCATAACTGGGGATAAGTGTTTGGGGATCCTGTTCTGCCATCTTCCCCAGTTTAGGAAAACTCAGTCAGTACCTATGGCTCTGCCTGTCTGTCCCCCACAGCAGGATTTCTCTGTCCCCACAGCAGCTGTCTCTCTCTGCTCCCCCCAGGATGCTGCAGGGTGGTTCTGCAGACAGCAAGGACGATGGAGGGCCCCAGTTTGCCGAGGTCTTTGTCATCATCTGGTTTGGTGCCGTGGTCATCACCCTCAACTCGAAGCTCCTCGGAGGGACCATGTGAGTGGGTTTGTTCGTGGCAGTTCACACCCTCCTGTGCATGCAGTTCTGCACTGCCTGCTTTGACTGCTGTTCTCCTGTTCCCATGTCCCTGTGCAGCTCCTTCTTCCAGAGCCTGTGTGTGCTGGGGTACTGTGTGCTGCCGCTCACCGTGGCCATGCTGGTGTGCAGGCTGGTGCTGCTGGCGGGCGCCGGCACCATCAGCTTCATCATCCGCCTCATCGTGGTCGTGGCCATGTTCGGGTGGTCCACCCTGGGTGAGTGCCCTGCGTGTGCCCTGTGTGCTGTGCTCAGGGGTTTGGGCTGCGTTCAGTCCCTTGGGCAGAGCCAGTGGGTGATGTAGTCTGAGGTACTTCCTGGGCAGCTGTACTACTGTACAAAGAATCCCAGGATCACTGAGTTTGGAAAAGCCCTCCCAGCCCATCAAGTCCAGCCTGTGCCCAATCCCCACCTTGTCCCCCAGCCCAGAGCACTGATCCAGTCCTTCCTTGGGCACCTCCAGGGATGGAGACTCTACCACCTCCCCTTCCAATGCCCAACCACCCTTTCGATGAGGAAATTCCTCCTGGTGTCCAACCTGACCCTCCCCTGGCACAGCTGGAGGCCGTTCCCTCTCCTCCTGTCCCTTGTTCCCTGGGAGCAGAGCCCGACCCCTCCTGCCCCTCCCCCTCTGTCGGGGAGTTGCAGAGCCAGAAGGTCCCCCCTGAGCCTCCTTTGCTCCAGGCTGAGCCCCCCCAGCTCCCTCAGCTGCTCCTTGTAGGACTTGCCTTCTGGACCCTAATTCTTCCAGTCCTCATGCAGGCACAGGTTCAGCCTCTACCTCTGCTCCTGGTGTCCTTGGAGCAGCTTGGGCTAGTGGAAGGTGGTGGAACTGGAGGGGCTTTAAAGTCCCTTCCAACCCAAACTGTTTTGTGATTCCATGATTTACCTTTCTCTGTGAAAAAGGGAGCGGTACCTGGTGATTGCAGCCCGTTGTGTGAGCAGTGGGTTGCTGTGTTTCCCTCTCCCCACGTTGCAGTGCAGCCCCTGTCCCGGGTGGGGCTGTGCTGACCGTTGTGTCCCCGCAGCCTCCACGGCGTTCCTGGCCGACAGCCAGCCCCCCAACCGCAAGGCACTCGTCGTCTACCCCATCTTCCTCTTCTACTTCGTCATCAGCTGGATGATCCTCACCTTCACCCCTCAGTGAGCCCCATCCCAAGGGACTGGGACACGGACTGGAGTTTTTCATGGACGCTGCAGTGAATCCTTGGCTTTATCTCCTTCTAATTTATATATAGGGATACTGTAAAAAGGCAGGTTGTGGGATAAAGCCAGAGAGCTGCAAAAAGTGCTCGTTTGTGTGTCCCTCTTTGTGAAAGATACCGAGGTCCAGCTACTGAGGGGTTTATTTAGCCCTGCTCTGTACTGGTGTTAAATAAACAGTACCCACTGGGACTGAGGACAGAGCAGGAGATCCTGGAATTCCAAGCTGTTGGGAGATGAAGTTACAGGATCACACTACTTGGCAGAGTTCATGCCTGTGCTTGGATTCTCACTGAAGATGAAAATGCCTTATCAAACTGTAGAACTTCACTGCTGTGATGTGTGGAGAGGGAAAAGATGTGTCTGACTCCTTTCATTCCCTTTGGAGTGGTGGGATGTGCACGTGGGGCATCGTGGGACCTGGGGCTTTCCTGGGAAGCAGGAGTTCAGCAAAACCCAGTTGAGTCTCTTTGCAGTGAATTGGAGCTGGTGGCAGGGAGTTGTCTTTGCCCATATCTGTGTGCTGTGTGTGTTCATCCCTTCGTGTGCCAGGGGAGAGGGTTCCAGCCTGATGCCTTCAGCACTGTGTCAGCCTGGCCCTGTGTCTGTGAGGGGTGTGGGCTCAGAGAGGTGCAGCCCTGTGACCACAGGGGACAGCTTGGAGTCCTGCAGAAACACTCAGAACTGTTTTGGAACTGGTTTATAGCAGGGACTGGGCTCTCACTGCATTTGGGAAGGGAGAATTCCCTGGAGAGCGCCAAGAGTGTGTATATATGATAGAAACAAGGGGTTCTGTGCAGTAAATTGAGGTTTTACTGCACAGGCTGTTTGGTGCTGGCAAACCACACCAGGGCTTGGGCCCCAAAGTTTTAGAACAGGTTGAAGGAAGGAAAGTAAATGGTGCTGAAGGTGGAGGCTGCTGTGGAGCAGGACATGGATTCTGCTCTTGCCTGCCTGTGTGTGACTGTTCCTTTGGTTGTTACAGGGACAGCAACAGAAATGTGAGCAAACATTTCGTTCCCTTGTACTTGCCCTGAGATGTTGGACACTGTTTTGTGGGGCTTTTGTTTTGCTTAACACTTTTGTAAGAGGGAGGGGGTTTCTTTCTCCAGTCCCTGCAGGTGCTTTTTGTACCTCACCTGGAGAACCACAGGTGGGCAAGGGTTGGGTGTATTTTGGCACAGGGATGAGAGCTGGGATCTGCTTTTGGAAACTGTACAGAAATGGTTCCTGTTGTCCATTGTTCTCAGTCAGCAATCCAGGGGAGAGCTTCGAAACATCTGGGGTGAAAAAACTGCTGTAAAATGTCCTTTTTCCTACAGTTGTGCAGATAGACTGAACCTGAGGTCTGTGGGTCCTGCTGAGGTATGAATGTTCCTAATTTATAGTTCTGTGTACAATAGCAGTCTGTGCTGTAAACACTGCTAGTGTTGGGGGTTGGGATGGAAATTGCTAAGTTGCAGATTAAAAGTGCATTTTTGCATTTGGGGATAAGGAACTGCTGTGTGTGACAGGGCCTGGCTGTGGCACCAAGGGGCTGGAGAGGAGCTATAGGGGTTTATTGACATGGGGGCCATGGAAATGGGGAATTTTTAAGCTTCCATTAAATTATTACTGGTATGGAATGTGGTTTTTCTTCTAAGTGTGCAATTTTTTGTTAATTTAAAAGTTAGTTCAGCTTTATGAAGCTGAAAAGAGAGACGGAGTGAGGAGCACCAGTGGGAATGACTGGAGAGGAACTGTCTTAGGTGACGTCAGGAAATCAAGAAGCCCAAGCTGGGATTTGTTCCTCAGCCACCCGTGGATGTCCTGCAGAGCCCCCACTGTGACAGAACCACCTTGTCCCTTGGTGGGTGGGCGATGCCAAAGCCAGCGGGACTCAGGCATGTTAAATCCACCAAAACATTTCAGTTCAGGCAAGTGAAATGCCTGGATATTTGCAGATGCCTGCAGTTAATGCTGGTAGTGCTTTAAAGTACTGGTGTTACCTCAGGGTGCTGAGTGCCCTCTGAATGTCCCTTGTCCTGTCCAGGTGTCCAGCCATCCCTCCCCAAGGGCTGTGCAGGTGAGTGATCCCTGGGACCACAACAGAGGTTTAGCTTGTGCTGGAAATGTCTGTGGTAACAACTGCTGTACTTTCCAGGGGGGAAGAAAAGCAGGGGGAAGCAGCTCTGTTGCCTTTAATGAAGTGTTTGAACTGTTCTGCAGAGAAGCAGCTGACTGATGCACAAACCAGGCTTGCTTTCCTACTAGGATTTTTCTAATACTGTTTATCAGCAGAAGTTGTTGTATGTGTTTAATTTTGATCTATGTAATACCAATAAAAAGAAAATTTGTTTTTAACTTGAAAATTTGAAAATTCAAGCGGGCTGAAGGTGCCGTGGGCAGTGTGATGTACAGGTGGAAGCTCTGTGCTCTCTGTGCTCTCTGTGCTCTCTGTGCTCTCTGTGCTCTCTGTGCTCTCTGTGCTCTCTGTGCTCTCTGTGCTCTGTGCCTGTCCCACGGGAGCTCCCTGGGCCCAGCTGAGGCAGGAGGGGGAAGCTCCCCAGTCCCTGCCCTCGTGTCCCCCTGGCCAGCAGGACAGGGCCACGTGTGCCAGAGCCCCCAGGGCTGAGCCAGGACGTCGCTCTGCTCAGGCTCAGATCTCACCAGTGCTCCCAGCTGGTCACAGACAGCTTGGGGAAGGAGCAGCAGTGCTGGGGTGCCCCAGAATTGGGGTGCCCCAGAACTGGGGTTCAGGTGGCTTCAGGGACCTGAGTGTGCCCCAGCAGCACTGGCCAGGGCTCAGTGTGCTGACTGAGGTGGGGGTGAAGGAGGAACAGAGACCTGGTAAGATGGTGCCTCATGAATGAATGGATATTAAACCCCATCTCTGAGTGGCTAATGAACGATAGGCAATTAACCCCAGCCCTGACCTGGCTAATGAACCAATGGCAATTAACCCCTTCCCTGTCCTGCACTGGGATTTGAGGTGATGGCCAGGACTGTGTCCTTGCTCTGCACTGGGGATGCAGAGTGGGTGACAGTGGGGACACCCATGCCACAGCCATGGCAGGTGAGCCTTGGCCCGGGTCTGGTGGCAGCAAGGACACGCTGCCCCTGTGCCGGGCATGGGCTGCGGGCTGGGGAAGGCCACCACGGCCCGATGGTCACAAGAGGGCAGCAGGACCGCGCCGTCCCTGACCGCCTTTTGTAGCTTGGTTCTTCTCCCGCCTTGGTTTCCGGCTCCATCGGGGTTGCTCCGGGATGCACAGCCGGGGTTTTCGGGTCCCGCAGCCAGGACGGGGCTTGCGGGCAGCCCCGGGAGGTGAGTTGAGTGTTGCCAACCTCGGTCTCTGCTGCGGGTTACCAATCTGAGGCAAGAAGATACTTTCATTCAACACGGGGCTTTTTTTGAAAAAAAAAAAAAAAAAAGGCAATTTACTGGGCTGGAAATGCAACTCTTCCACTCAAAAGAGCTGTTCCTGGATGCAGCTCCATGGTTTGTAGTTACACTTTATTTGGATAAAGCTTGGATTTAGCATTTTTTCCCCAAGCTAATTTTTTAAGGCAAATATACTCTGTGCTGGATTGTAATTTAGGGTAAATGAATGGGGCAGGTAACAGTGGAAGGAAGGACTTTCCCAGTAAAATGAGGGAGCAACTCATCCAGCGAAGCTGTTGACTGACCCCTGGCACGGTGAACCCGTGAGCCCCGACCTTTGGCTTTCCTGGCAGGATCGATGGCGTGGCTGTGGGAGCTGCAAGTCAGGCCAGAGGCTGCTGAGTCTCCACATCGCAGGTACTCGGCACAGGGGTCGCAGGCAGTGAGGGGTGGGACGGGCACGCTGTGCCCAGCACGGGGGGTTCCTCAGTGCAGACACGGGGAGAGCGGCACTGGGGGCAGTGACGGGGAGCCCAACAGCCAGGGCTGCTGCTGGCACAGACTGAGGGTCACTGTGTTGCTCTGCTGTCAGGGGGCAATGCTTGTGCTGCAGAGGAGGGGTCCCTGAGAGAGACAAGTGAAAGCTTGCTGTAGATTTGTTCCCAGCCGTGGTTGGAACAGAAAACAACAAGGGCACTTCCTGATGCAGGTTTGCTGTTTCCACCCCTGTTACTCTTCCTGACCCTTGTCCCTCTGTCCACGTTTAAGGGAAGGGAACAAAGTGTTGTTTGGGGCGTCACGGCCTCCCCGTGCCTGGTACCTCAGCACATCTGCACTCTGAGCCCTCTGTGGCTCAGAAGCTGCTGTTTGTGCTGTGGATGGAGGTGAGGGAGCATCAGTGGGAGCCTTGGGCACAGCGAGGCACAGCGGGAGGGCTCCTGCCACACAGTGCTCCATTGTCCCTGTGGGGCTGGCAGTGGGGGATGAGCTGTCCCAGGGCTGCCATGCCCAGGGTGGGAGCAGATGGAGGGATCCCCTGTCTTGGCTGAACTCCACCTGCCTGTGCAGAAGGCTCGGCCTCAGCTCCTCCCGAGGGTCCGTGAGCAGCATCTCCTGCCCTGAGACACACCTCAGGCAGCAGCTGGCTAAAATCCATGTACATGAGCCCCCTCCAAACCCCTCCTCTTCCCCCAGTGCTGCATTGCTGGCAGTGGAAAGAGCATGATGTGAAGCACAAGATCCTCTGAAGGGCTAAAAGGAGTTTGGTATTTTAAAAGAGAAATGAAGAATACAAACCCAGCTGGCTGAGCTGAACAGCCTGTGCTGTGAGTCCACATGTTCCAGTGAGGAGAGCATGGACATTCCTCGAATAAGGGCCATTACATCCCTTTCTAATCAAATGGGATGGAAAGGAAAATGGGAAAAGCAAACTAAATGTCATCTCCTGGGTGGTTCTTGCTAAGAAGTTATGATTTTGCGTTGCCAGCTTTGCCAGCAGTGGGGGTTCTGTCCATGGACAATGGACACAAGGAGTGCTGAGCACCAAGAAAAGCCACTGGTGTCTCCAGGCCAGTGGGGTGAGCTCCCAACCCTGCACTTTTCCTCATCAGCTGAAGATGAGGAAGGTGAGGCAGGTGTCTGTGGCTTCTTCTGTCCAAGGAGCAGCGAGTGCAGTCCTGAGGATGAACCTGACTCTGCGTCGATCCATGACAACTCTGTGCCCTTCCTGTGGGGATCTTTTCCTCGGAGAACTGGAAGGCACTGGCCAAGATTTTTCAGCCTCACAGAGAGTCCTGCAGGGCACAGCGGGGATGCTACAGGCAAGAACAAACTTTTCAGCAGCAGTGAATTGTTGGCCTTTGATGAACATTCCCAGACAAAGCCTGGGCACGTGCTCAGGAATGGCAAAACAGATCCAGAGGGGCGGCTCGGGGCAGACCTGGGGAGAGACCACAACACCCTGGACTGGGATGAAGATGAGGTTAATGATGAGGTTAATGCCTCCTCACTGTCCCTGGGGGAAGTGAAGGCGTGTCCTGGCCAACTGGTAAGTGCCTCTCTCAGTGACTGTGTGTGCCCGTTACCTGCGCCCCACTCCCTGCTCCCTTCAGGTGCCTGGCTGGTCCTGATGCTCTGGCAGACACCGGCCGCTCTATCTTCTCCTTACCCTAAACTGCTTCACCCTCAAGACCTCTGGTCCTTGTTATTTGGTTGTGGAGGACTCCAGGCTCTGCCGTGCCCACATGTGGGGGCTGATGGAGCCTTCGGAGCAGCCCCATCCCTGCAGCCATTCTCCTGGTGCTTACCCCATCCCTATGGCTGTTCTGCTTCCCACATCCCCACTGTTGCAAGGCAGAGCCTGATGAACTCATTGATTTCTACAAGAAAAAGGCAGAGGGTAAATTTTGCAGCTCAGCAAGAACTGCTGGATTTCACTGGGATTGTGTTTTCTGGTTCTTTTCAAGTCTTTTCCTGGTGTTTTGTGTTGCTGTCGCAGGCTCATAAACAGAATGTGCAATTATTTATCCCAGGCACTGATTTAAAACCTTCCTCTCCCCGTAACTCAGCCCTCCCTTAGCAAAACCCACAGGGCTGAGAGCTGGGATGAGGCTGAGAGCTGGGATGGTGCTGCTGCCTCTTCTTTCTCAGGGTTTTGGAATTCTGCCCAGCAGCAGAGGCAGAAGCCTGACACAGCCCAGCCCAGCACGTGGTGTGGGGGCACCAGTCTGCACCCCACCTGCAGCCAGGATCTGTTCCAGAAAAACCTCTTCTACCTCTTGATTCCCTTTGGAACAGGGAAGCACGTGGCTCCAGCTCAGCCCCTGGCACAGGGCTGGCAGCACGATCCCTCCCCGGGACAAGCCTGGCAGCCCCTGCAGCCGTGGGGGGCGAAAAGAATTCGCTGTCACATAATGAGTCTTTGTGTGTGTGAGGGTTGGCAGAAAGGGTTTTCTGAAGCTTTTTTCTTGGAGCTTTCTTGGCACCCCCAGAGAAGGCTGGCAGTGGCACATGGCTCCTGTCCAGCCCTGGAAGTGCCCTGGGGTGCAGTGCCCAGGGGCACGGGATGGGCATGGGACGGGCACTTGTTGTCCCCAAGCGTGAAGTGTCTCTCCTTGTCCGTGCAGTCAGTGGCTGAAGGAAAGGGCATCCTTGGGCAGGGTTTTTGACTGAGCAGGTGCCAAGAGAAGCTGTGCCCGCTGCTGGTTTGTTTTCAGTGTCTGCTGCCACCTGCTCTGTGCCCACTGGACCCGTCTGCCCATGCCCTGAGCCCCCTCAGCTTTGGGGTGCTCTGCTCTCGGGATGCTGACAAGATCAGCCTGACCCTGGTGGGGTTTCAGCAACCCTGGGCTCTTGAGGATGAGCCAGGAGGGTGTCCTGGCCCCTGGCTCTGTGCTGTGGTGGTCTGTGCCTGAGCACGGGGGTGCCAGTATGTTATGGTGACAATTCTCTGGAGACCCAGCGTCCTGGAACGGGACAGCAAAGCCCAGAAAACCAAACTGGGCACTGGTGGGCTTGCAGAAACCCTTGGGCCCTGTCACCTCCTGCTCCAGGGCTGAACGCTTGGAGCCGTTGTGGGATTTGACTGTTGGCACCCAGAGCAGAGCTACCATGTCCCTGTCCTGTGTCCCAGTCAGTCCCTGTGCCATGTCCCCAGCTCTACACGAGAAGCTGCAGTAGACAGGGTTTGCCTCCAGATTTGGGTGTGGAAAACTTGGTACATGAATGGCCCATCCCTCCATGAGTGAGGGGAGGCTGCTGTGGATTCATCACAGGGGTTCAGCTTGCAGAGGCCTGCCCTTGCAGGGAGCCAGTGCTGCACCTGACGGGATTCCTCTGTCCTGGGAATTAATTCCAACCCTCAGCCAGAATTAGGGCTGGGATCCTCCCCAGACAACAGCTGTCACCAGAACTTGGTGCAAAAATACCCAAGTAGCTCAAATGCAGTTTATTACGTGGCATTTTCTTGGGGCAGCCCGAG